AGGTATTTAAAAGACGAGTAGATGAGGCGCTTAGGGACATGGTTTAGTGGGCATGGTGGTGTTGGGTTGACGGTTGGACTCGATGATCTTAGAGGTCTTTTCCAACCTTAATGATTCTATGATTCTATGATTTCTATGCTATTGTCATTGAGTTCCTCAGAAACACATCGCTGGTAACTGCAGTATGCCAGAATTAGTGGCCATGCAGAAATCCACTAATCCCTACAGGTTTTACTTCAGTTACATGTTAGGCATCAGTGAAGCAAAAATACAAGTAAGCAACAAATACAATTCAGATAATGAGATCTGTATCCCACAAAAAACAGGATTATGAAAAGACTTTGCAGTCATGATTTAAACTGAGCCCCAATTCCTTCCATGTTGCCATGCCTGAGAAAGTCAATGCAGCTATTGGATATATAAGTGGGAAATCAGATTTTCCTGCGTTAATTGCAGTGGTCTCCCATGTAGCATTATGATCACATTTTTGTACAAATGTGGCCAGACAATGCCTGTGCTTTAGAAAGGAAGCTGACAAACTGAAAGTCCAAGAAAGCCATAGAAGTGATCTGAATCTAGAAGCAGTGGGGAGAAGGAAAAAAAAAAAAAAAGCACAACACAACTTAAGTCATGAAAGAGAAGCTTAAGAAAGAAAACAATAATGATTTCCTACCCATGTATTCCTAAAAATTTTCTTGATGATGCATTCCAGTTCAACCAGAAAGTCTGAACTTGACACGAGAATTAGGGATCGACTGACCCAAATTTATTGTTAGGCTAACGTGGCAGGCTTTATTACATTACTGTAATGTAATAATTCTTTTACTTGTTGAGGTGCTCTTTTAATCTAAAAATAAATGAATATATACAACAGTACTTCTGTAATTTCTTCCTTGGGTGAGCCATGGTTAGTATATTGAGGAAAAAGACAGTAGAGCACTATGTTGAAATAGAAAAAAAAATACAAACCTCGAAGCTTATAGTAACAATAGAAAACATCAAATCCTTATGATGTATACAAAAAGATCCTTTTAATATAAGCCCTAAAAATGTCAGTTACCAATTCAGTGTATAGAAGCAGCTATATAAGCAGAACCAGAAATGGAAAATTGCTACTCGTCTCAATACAAAGCAATGCAATTGAGAACTGGTGTTCGAAAACCTGTAGGAAAAGCCCAATGGAAACATTACTGACCAAAGCACATGCTGCCTTTTCTTGCCGAACTGCTGGCAGTTGTCCTTGTGCCCTTTCTATATTTAAGAAAAAGGAAAACCTATCACCATAGTGCTGCATTTCCAGTATCTATTCTAAAGCTTTTTGAATGTTTATTTTTCAATTGATGAAGACACTCCAGTATTAAATAGATAACATATAAGGTATCACATTAATGTGGACAATTAATATGAGCTATTATTCCTGAACAAGTACACTGAGAGCAAGACACACTGTTAAAGTTTGTAGACACCAAAATTGCCAGGAGATTTGGATTTTTCTCCATTTCTTTTCAGTTATGTTTTTAAACCTCAGCACACTGAGCCATGCAAGTAAGCTAGCACGTGGAAGAAACCCAAACATATTCTCATACTCACCAAGGAAACAACTAACGTGAAGAGCCAGGCATAGATGAAGAAGTAGTCTCCTCCTATTTTAATAATGTAAAGCAGAAGGGATGTCACTGGCAACAGAATACACTGGGTCACGATAAACTTCTTGATAGCATCCTTAAAAAAAAATCCCAGTGTCTGTAAAGAAAGGATATCAGTGATATTTTCAATGTAAATATTCATGTGCCACAGTGGTTAATGAACTGATCCCTTCAGTGGATGCACAGAAAGAAAGTAAGACAAATCGCAAACCAGCAATACCAATGTAATAAGGAAATCAGAGTCAGTTAAGAAAAGGTGGAAGAACCTTTTCACCTCCTCTCCTGGTAGCTGTGGCTCTTTACATCCACATGGACTCCAAGCCCATGCAGATGCACTCTTCCTTAGCAAGATGTGACCCAAACTCTTATTTTGCGTTGCACATATACCCTTCATTAAAGGAGGAAAGAAAAGTTTAAGCTTATATGTCCCTGAATTCCTTTATCAATCTATATCCTAGACATTATGGGATTTTTAGAGAATAGGAAGCTCTTAAAGAAACATAGCTACTGTAAAATATTTTGTCTTCATCTTAACTTTCAGTTACCACTAAGCTGATTGTCTTAACTGGAAATATATAGAAGTCCTATTAAAGATTTTTAGATATACATTGGGTATTTTACTCCAAGCTTCTACTGACATGCAGTTACTACTCATGTAGCCGTCTCAGGTTTTTAAATTAGCATAACTTTAATAGAAGCAATAGAAGTTTCAAAGACCTTTACCCGAATGAATCTGATCTAGTGACTCTACAACATGATTAGACACCCAACTAGTTCTTTCAGGAATTGTTACTTCAGTACTTACAGCTACCTGCAAGGCATAGAAGTGAGGGGGTTATTACGTAAAGATCCTTCCCAACAAGGTTATATTAAAAAGCCCATACTACGTTAAAGATATGGAACTCGTCTGGAAAGAAAAAAAAATACTGGTGAAACAGATTTAAATAGAAACTAAGGATTTGGGGCAAGAATTTGGATGGACGCCTGAGACTTCCATGACTATCGGAAACACAAATCAGACATAAACCCGTAATTTTAGACTATTCTTTATGTAGACATATTCACTCTGGTCACACAGTGAGCACTCTGGTGATATATTCTTACTAAGTGACCGTTAGTATCAGCAGTAACACAATTGTATAGACACATGCCCACACAAATGGAGCACTCCAGAAGATACTGTTCCTTGCCTGCCTTTAATATTCCCAGGTAGTGTAGGCTACCTTTTCCAGCAAAACAGCTCTGTAACTAGCAAAGCAAGACTTGCGGCTCTCATTCACACTAAGCAATGGTCCTTTCCTGAAAATGGTATGGAGAAGCATGAAAGAAACTCTGTGGGTCATCCCGGACAAAGGAAAATTTGCTTCCACTTGATCAAGACTCTTAAACTGTTACAAGCCAGGAGAGAGAACACAAAATACACAACAGTATGTTCCTCCTTTATTACTTCCTCAGCTCAGCCAGAAAAAGGCCTGTTATACAGCTTTTTCATTTTTTAGCTTAGTAAACAGCTGAAGAAACAGTCACTTAATATAACCTAGAAGAACTCTTAACAGAAGCATGCTGCTAACGCTGTTTCCACTGGGCTTTCTGAAACACGTCAACTACAATCCATCTAGCTCAAGTTTTCATTTTAACTTTTTCTTTACTTCCAGCTCCACAATCTAGGAGGAACAGAGCTATAAAATTGCATGGTGTCTTTCATCTTTGCCCTGCCTCTTTCCTGCTTTCTAAGGCAGATGCGACTTCAAGAGAAATCCACATTTTCAGCAAGCCACTCCCAAGAAAGAGTCTATCTGAAGATCATTTGAGAATCATTGCTAGAAATTCCGAAGTCTGTGCTGGTATCAGGTGTGAATTTGGCTCATTCACTAAAGGACCTAGTCCATTTGTCTGAAATGAAAGATGGAGATTTGACTGTGATTGTAAGACATTTGGTACCTCAAATTGGATTGGAGCTGGACTCAGCCTTCAGTTCTTGGCATGAGGACGAGCTGGACTCAGCCTTCAGTTCTTGGCATTTTTTTCACTGCGGTGAAAAAAACCTTGTAAAAGACATCATGCAGGTAGCTCAATCAAGCATTTGACAACACCCATAGAACATCATGCAGGTAGCTCAATCAAGCATTTAACAACACCCATAGGTGTCAGTGCCAAGTCTTCCTTTTCTCATTTGATTAGGCACAATGCTTGCATTGACAACAGTGAAGCACCCAGAGAGCACAGCTCCAAGGAGAAAATGTTCAGAGGATATACCCAGAATTCTCCTTAACCTCCCTAAAGCATACAAAGAAACAACATGGATTCTGCAAGCTCTCAAGACAGTTTTAAAGAAGCCTGAGCTGCTAAGTTCAGTATTTGATCCTCTGCTTCTTCTGCACAGAGGTAGGGCCTGATCAAGGCCTGATAAAGTCAAGCTCTCCATCCATCAGCTAGTCTGCCAATTTGCTCTAATTCTAGTGCTTTACAAGTCCCAACACTGACAGTTGTTGGACTTCTGTGTCCTGGACATAAAGGGCTTGCAGATCTGGCACCAAGATGGAACTTACTCCTCACTAAGGTAGGAGAGACGATCAAGGTGCAGGCCTGATACTCAGGATTGACATGAGAGACAACAGCAAAAGATAGCTTTTGAGGCATATTTAAGGATTCTGAATGTCAAAAGTATATCTAGGCTAGGCCAGAGCATAAGCACACTGCAAGAATTGGCCTTTGCCAGCCCTTACAATTTTTGAGGACTACAGAACAGAAGTGATAGCCAGAGAACAAACAAAATACATCAAATAGGTATTTCCCTGAAGAAAAGATTGCTTGACTGATGCTCTGGAAACATGGGAACATTCCTTCCTCCCTTGATAGGAGCAGGATGTTTGCCTGCCAGTATGCTCACTGTAAAGTCTGCAGAAGGGAAGGGGATCTCCAGGACTATGGCTCAGAATCACCTAGGATATGAATGGCCATGTGCGCCATCATTCTAACAACGAGTATTTACTTGCTGCTGAGAGAAAAAAGTGATTGTTAGAAGTTACACACATGTTTTTAGAACGAGGGTTTTTTTATAAGACGAGAGCTATGTGGAGTATAAAAAGAGTTCTGAGTTGGTCACAAGCTCAAGGCTTATGACTAACTAGAACAATCTTCAGATTTGCTCCCCAAAGACTGGAGCAGGAGCTGCCGTTGGCACAGTATCCAAATATCAGAGGCGGGGAGGGGGGGAACCAAAAAAGCCTTGCAGTCTCCAGGAATACACACAGATGTCAAGACAAAATAGTGCAGTGAGAATTTGCATAGTTGGGCTTCCCTGGAAAGAAAACAGTATGCCGCTAAATAATTGACGTGAATCAAAATAATACAAGATGTATCAGGATCTACACACTTCTGTTTTAAAGATCATTGAGAGAGGGTGCAAACTGGATCATTGCATTTAGAGCTTTTTTTCTCACTTATTTTCTTACTTGTTTTATAAAAAGGAATAAGAAACATCAATTTATCAATTTACCAGGAATATAATGAGTTTAGAAACAAACTGATTCTACTTCTTTAGGTCTAGCTCAGTCTTCCTGCCTCCATAGAAATTGGAAGATGAAACTGGCAGATACCAGAGCATCTCTACCCCTATTAAAATGAGCCAGACAGCTTTATCCCACATCTGCTACCCATCCAGATTTTATTCTACTGTAAAAAAAAAAAACTTCCTAGTAGACTTAGAACAGACTGTAGACAACACTAGCTGGGTCCAAAAGCAGAAAACAAGTGTCATGCTCTGGCATGAAATGGCTAATCATGTGTGCCAGATTGAGGTTCCTCTCCCAAAAGGAAAATCTGATCCCATGAGAAACTGATACTGAAACAGGTTAAACTAAGATGGTGAGAGAAATTAAGAAAGCCAGGGCTGATATTAAGTGAGTACCTAACAGAAGTACAAATGAAAAGCTGAATTCTCTAATTTAGTAAAGGCTGATACAAGAAATCAATAAGCCAAACAAAATGAGGAGAACAATTTCTCGGTTTTGTTTCATCTGTTCAGTGTCCATGAATCAGAACTGCCCCTGTCAAGCAGTGATCCAGACTTCAAAGGAAGGGCATATGAAGGGCAAAGAATAGTCCATCCAAAAATGAACAGCTGAGGTATGAAATTTTCTTTGTTCCACTGCTGGAATACACACTTCTTTTTGCTTAGAGGCATGGGCTCACGCAGAGGCATTCTGGTGTGGCATGGGTACTTCTGCGACAGTCACAAACTGTCATTGCTCTTATTTGGCACAGACGTGGACATACCAGTCCACCTAACCAACCAAACCTACTGAAGATGTTAGGTCAGTATAAGTGCTATCTACAATACCTGTTGATTGAAGCCATGTTTCTCTTCTATGACAAATGTGTTATATAAACTCCATGGGAGACCAGTCACTGCACTGAAGAGTGTTGCAAGCAGCAGAAATACCAATGACTGAACAATCTAAAAAAAAAATAAAAAAAATCTGATATTTACTGACCTGTACTAACATTAATATTCCGGGTGTTAAAAATGGATTTTGTGTCAGTGGTTTAACTGAAACTGGTTAGAAGATGAAGCTAGATAAATTCACAGAAATAACATTTGTGATGATTAGATTACTGATCACTAGAATTGCTTACTATGTTAAAGAAAGAAAAAAATATACCGGTGAAACAGATTTAAATAAAAACTAAGGATTTAGGACAAGAATTTGGATAGATGCCTCATCCACAGCACAAAGACAACATAAGCAACAGCCTCAAATTTCTTACCCTTTTACTGTGCAGGAAGATCACATCCAGGATTAGTAAAAAGACAACACCCAAACAGAAGTCCCCAAAAACCCAACCCACCACCTCATTTGACTCAAGTAGCTTTGAGACTTGTATGTTTTTAACATACAAGGCTATTTTAATTAGTAAGCTAATTTAAAAGTCACATACTGTTATCAGTTCTCAGACTCGCCCAATCATTAAGCTCACCAGAAAATGTTTTTTTTACTGTATTGTACCTGTAGCTAAATCCCACTTCAAGTAAATGCAAGCTTAAAAATAAAACTTATTTTAACAGTATAGTTCATGGACCAAACATTTTCACTAAACTTTAAAGACTGCTTACCTCATATTCTGGTCCAAACCCAGCACGACCAGAGATCTGACCAGACAGATTCCAGAGAAAAGGAATTCCTCCACAAAGGAGAATCATCTTGAAAACAAAAACACATACCACAGAGGCAATATGAAACAGATCTTATTCTACTAAAATTTCAGCAAGATAAGGACCTTTTAAGGGTGAATGAGAAAAGTTTTATAAATAGGCTTTTTTGTCTCCCTCTGATCTTAGCATAAAGAAAGCCTGGAATATTTGGCAATGGTTCATTTTTACTTTACAGAAGTAGAGATCAGGTCAAGCTTTTTTTTTTTTTTTGGCTGGGAAATACTAGCATATTTCCAAGCCTATTTACTGTAGACTATACTGCTATATTGGCTCAGACATAAGGTATATTTTTCAGAAGACCTTAAAACTCATTTGCCCTATGCTTGTATAACATACCATCTTCTAGGAGTGGTATGCAAGATTCAGCAGCTTGACTGCACTGGGACAGTCTCACCTGCGTTCCCTACCGAGAGAAAGGCATTCAGACTAAGGCTGCAATTTCACTTTCAGTATTAGTGCTGCTTCATCCATTTTAAGAAAGCTTCACGCTCTCTTCCTTGTGCCTGCCTTGCAATGCCTCCTGCCATACAGGTTGCCAAGGAACAGGGAGTGGATTACTCACGACACACCATCATCAAAGAAACGCTTGAGACAGAGCTATTTAAGTAAGTGCTAACTGTAGTTCAAGGCAGGGGCTGGTACGGTTTGTTAAACAGCTTGACTTCCAAGTGTTTCACATTTACTTTCTTAGCAAGCGATGAATCACTA